TTTAGTAACTACACAAAATGACATTGTATAAAAATATGGATAGATAGATTGAGTGACTTACAAAAGGTTTGAGAAGCAAGAAGCGAAAAATTTTCACGCCTTATTTTTTCTAATTGCTTACTGCAAAAACATCCCATATATATTACTATAATATCAGTTTAAATTTTCCAATTCCACATGATATGACTCTATACATTCTGTATTTATATATATGGACATTCAACGAAGCTGTGAGATTCTTTCTCAAAAAAAAAAAAAAAACGAAGCTGTGAGATTGTGGAATATTAATCTAATTTTTGACCGAACAAATTCGAAAGTGATACGTAGCGTTCGGAAATTTCCGGTTAAGCTTTAACAAAATAAATAAATAAATAAATTTCCGGTTAAGGGGAGCTAGAGACAAATGGTATAATTTTTTTATATCGGAATTTGATACTAATTCTTTTCTACGTTGCTTGATTTATGTGCTATATTATATTCTTTTTCTATGGTTTCAACTTTTTGTTGTTTCAATTTTTATTTTTTCTGTTACTGAGTAATGTTGTTTCAATTATCGACCAAGCATATATAGAACCAGAACCAAACAAAGTGATGATAACTAATCACGTTTCTTTTACATATACTTTTTGTCGTCAACTATATGTTTATAATTTAATTTGATAAATAAAATTTTAAAAGGTTTTAATTGATCTATGTCTTTAACAAAACAAAAGGTAATTAATTGATATATGGATTATGCTAAATTATTTAGAGTTAATTGGTCAATAGCCATAAATCGGAGAAAAATTAACAAAACCACCATCATATTTGTCTTAGTCATGTACATATTCTATTCCAAAAAATACCTTTGAAAAACTCTATTTGTTAATATAGAACAGATTCTATGATGGAATTTCTAAAGTGATATTCAAATATGATCTATATTAGAAAATTTTAAATTAAAAAAAAGGTATTATAGTATTTTGTTGACAAATGGATTTGTAAAACATTATGTTTTATGTTATTTCGATGGAACTCCTTCTTCTTGAAACAACTCGATGAATTCTATGATATATACTTTGAAATAATGTTAACCGTTGAGAAGAGAATATTTGCAAATGTAACATGTGAATCCAAGATATTAGATATTGTCAATAAATAAACTGATAAAGTTTAACCAGCCTTAAATCTTCACATTTTGTTTGTAAGCACAATCGTACGTGTTATGTTTGCGTTTAGTGTAATAAAAACATCATTAATGGTAACCCCATTAAATGATCTTAAGTAATTTTTTAAGATTAAAAACACTTTGACCCGCCTCCAAAACCCATTTCATTAAACTCCTTCAATAGAACCTTTTCATGGAGAATTCATTAAATTAAATGATTTTTTAATCACTTTTACTCTAAGACACTCTTAAAGGGGGTTACGATTAATGATGCTCTAAATGTTCAGCTTTGTGTACTGTATGCATTCATGTTTGTATTAGTGTTTGACGTTTTTATTTAATTCTAAAGCAAACAATTATCTACCTAGAAAAAAAACACACGTCTAA